GATACTTATTAAAATTTCCCTAGTATTTTTGAAAAATGACCATTGGAAAAAATATATCACTGAATACTAATTGTTTATAAATCGTTGAATAGTAACTAGAGTCGGGCTATGATATGTAGAATATATATTGAAAGAAACCACAAAGATGGTGTTGATGTGACATAATCTTCTACTAAAAAAATAACCATTTTACAAAGAAAATAATGATTTATAAAATTAGTCTCCAAAAAGACTGCAAGTTTATTTGCTTTTTAATATTTTTAATCTTAACAATATCTACAAATACATCAATATGATTTGTAACTAAGTCCTTTGTGTTATTATTGGCTTTTTAAAATGCAATGATGTACTCTTTAGGGTAGTGGATTCTATTTTATATTTGTATATTTCTTTGATGTTCAAACAATTGTGCATAGATAGTGTTTTATAAAATCATTTTGCTAAAACGGGTTTCTAAAATTTCTCAAAACATATATAATGTGGCATAATAATTTACAGAGGGATTCCTTATCAAGTGTTTTCTTGTGAATGGTCATAGTATTAAATATATGGAAGTTATATGCTGTATATACACATGACTTTGATGTCTGGAGTCACTGATTAGGAGATCTCATACTTCCTGTGTCACCGTGTTCCTCTCATAAAGTGAATACGTGCCTCAAGGTAGCTCATGCCATTTCACATGGTATTTCTTTATTCTTATTACATCTCACCAACTAACATGCTACAGCAATTATTTTTGAACCTTTACTTCTACTTGCTTAGCATTTATTATCTGTACATACTATATAGTTGATTTAAGACTAAACACCCATATCAGCATTTGAATCTTTCTTTGTCAGAATCTTTGTTATTTATACTATTTGATCAAATAACCCATAAATTTTCAAAGCTTGAGTCTTATTTTCTGATTAAAATACAGTATAATTTAGGATGATTATTTAAAAATAACAAAACATGCCACCTCCAATTTTTAAAAGTTAAAATGGTAATGTTACATTATTCTTAGTGAAATAATTGAATCTCTTAACTTCAGGCTATATACACAAGGTGGTAGAATAGGTTAATCAAAAATCAAGACTATCAAAAGCTCTAAACCTGATCCAAATAGGTTTCAGTATTCAGAATCCATCCCTTGCACAACAAAACCTTGGTTGTGAGATTTTTAAATAATTTTTGTACTTTATGAAAAAATAGAAAATTACATAATACATGTTGTCTATTGACATGGCATTGACATAAAATGTCATCTAAGCCTTTTGTTTAGCTCAAACCTCAAGGTTAACCAGTTGTCTTAGAGTTTGGTGATGGCTACAAACCTCCAAATGAGCCTGTCTCAGTGTAAACAATGACACTGATGCACACCAGTGCCAGTCCACAAGTTAATCAAAGAAAATACAGAAGTAGATTCTTTGTCTACCACAGAAATTATCTGCTAAAATTCTGGACATGTGCACATTTTCCTGAAATAGATGCTTTAATATTTATGTACACATAATATGGGTCATGTCATATAAAAATTTAGTTCTAAAAAAATACTGATGATATAATAATT